TGCTGGCATACTCATGTTCACAGTTTATAAAGTAAAAAATCTAAACTTAAAGTCAGCTCTGAAATAGATGCATTTTCATCAGTACATTCACTAGTTAGGCCTGTTCATCTAAAATAGAAGGGACGATAGCATGAGTTATTTTTTTAAAGAATAAACAATATATCAGCAGCAAATCTTGGTTAAATTAAGTTGGAAATCAATGTTCTGAGTAAATTATCAGTCCACCAGCTGAGGCGGCAAATTAAAATATATTACTGGAAAACTTAAGAGAATGTCACAGAACATACTATATGTTTTTAAAATACAAATATTAAAACTGAATTACCAAATTTATGATTTTGATCCAGTTAGTAAAATAAATCCAGAGGCATCAAAGACAAGTAATACCACGGTCTAGAACTAGTCACAAGAAATGCAGTAATGATCTCTAAGGGGTTTTTCTAGTATCATTCTAACATCCCTTCTGGTGGAAAGCAATGGAACGGCATCATCTGCTGAAACATAGGAAGTACCAGTTTCCTTTTTAAATGATGAAAAATATCACCCATGTCTGAAATATTTTTATTTAGGGAGATGGAGAAAATTCTCAAAACAGACTCATGGCCCAGAAGTAGGTGACCCATAACAAGAGCCAGGAGAGACACCAGGAAATCACCCCAGGTAAGCACCACATTTTCACCTATTCACACTCAGTGTACACCAGTCAACCAACACTTGAGCTTCTGACAACATAATGTGTTTTGAATATACTTTAGAGACAAAAAGAACAGCTCATTTTAAAGTAAGTAAAATGTATTTTAACTTGGGCTCATAATTAACTTCAGGGTATTTCCTTTAATAAACTTGTTAATTTTACCAATGAGGCATTTTGCTTCACTGTCAACACATTTTCTTTGAGAATTTACAATTAGTAACAATCTATCTCAAATTTGATTCTGTGACATAGTCTTGGTAACATTATTTTAAAAGCCTGAATTCCAGTTGGTTTGGCTGCAAAATTTAGTTTAAAAATTCACAGTTCTGTCCAAATATAGGTGGATCCTGAGTTTCCAGCAGAGGCAGTGAATTCATTCTCGTTGTTTTTGTCTTGTGGCATGCTTGGGAGATCACAAAGAGTTGTGCACTAGTGTCAATACTTCTTGCTGTTGTACTTTTATTTCAAGCTGTTTTTAAATATATTGACATATGTATATACATATATACGTAGATAGGAATATATATATCTACACTTTTTGACAAAAGAATGACAGCAATATACAGGAACCAATTTTGCCAAATGAATTCTATTTGGTTAATAAATGATGTTCTTTCCATCAATCTATCGAAGTCCAGACCAACTATGCAGATACGACGCCCATCCGGAGGAACGAGAAGCATTTTCTTCCTCACCTTTGGAGTTAAAAAAAAAAAAATAATTCATCTTTCCAAACCACATTTTGCTGTTATAATCTGTCCTTGAACTTTCAATATTTGCTGTCTCTATTACAGAAGTAACTTCAAAATAAAATCCCCAGCTCAAGGTATTTTTGATAATAAATGGTGTAGGGTCAATGATTTTCAGGCTTTTCTGCCCTCCTGCCATTAGGACTGCACGCCTGATGGTGGGCACCTGTATTTTGTTACATTGTTATACTTGGTTGTATTGTTTACTTCAGTGGGCCCTGGCTGCAGTATTTATATATTTTCCAAGTATTTATATATTTATATATTTTCCAAGCAAAACACAGAAAAGAGAGAGAACAGGAGAGGAGAGAAAACCTAGAGAGCCCTACAGTGAAGAGGGAAGATTCGCCCAGGCCTGCTGGCCTCCTGACTCCCCTACCCCTACCCCTGTCTGCTGTGTACATGTAAAAGCTCAATAAAAGTCTGAGAAAGTCATCCAGGGCTCCAGGACTCTCCTTTACCCATCTGCTCCAATCATAGAAAACCTGCTCTGTGCCTTCCTGGCTCAAGAAATGGGAATTTTTTATGTTTTTTAAAAACAGAAGATTTTATGTAATTTAGCTTAGACTCTAGAACCAGTAGATTTATGGTAAAGCTCAAAACTAAACCAAAATGTTTTTCAACCTTTTTTAAAAAAAAAGATTTATTTATTTATTTATACAAGCACTGGGTACAGTCAGAAGCACGGGAGGGTGAGAGAATTCACCAGAGCCAGAGTGGGGAACAGAACAGGCAGAATGACGAAGTACACTGCTGAGGGGAGCAGCAGGCATGACAGGAGAGGTCTGCGCGCCATGTGGGACCCTCGCCTGGCAGCCGGGGATTGAACTGGCGCTGCAGAGGCTGAGGGCAGCCCTGCAACCCAGCCCTCAACCGCTGCGCCACCGGGGAGGCCCTGTTTTTCAACCACTTAATTGAAAAAAAAAAAAAATCAAAGCAAGGTATCATTTAGTTATAGTAAAATTCACCCTTTCTAGGTATAGTATTATGAGTCCTGACGGTACAGTACATTTCTAACACTTCAAAATCCTGTCAGGTCCTCATGGTTTAGTCTTTTCCAAAACATCACACAAGTAGAATCACACTATATTACAGTCTTTTGAGTCATTATCTTTTACTTAGCACAGTGTATTTCAGAATCACCCACATTGCTGTGGGTATCAGTAATTCACTGCTTTTTATTGCTGAGTAGTATCCATTTTGAGACTGTACCAATTTATTTATTTACCATTGAAGGATACCTGAGTTGTTGTAGTTTTTAGCAATTTTAGTCTTTACCCTATTCTCCTAATGAGTTGTTGGCCTTTTCCTTCTTTATTGACTTCTGGATGAGACTTTGGTATATGTTGTATATCAAGTAACAATATGCAATTTTATAAATTATAGCTGTGGAGTAAAGACGTAAAATGTAACTTTCAGTTCTAGCTTGAGATTCCAATTGTGCAGAGAGGCAGCTTTGAGTAGCTCATGACACTTGCCTGGGGTGCAAACTGGGTCCTTCACGGGTATTTTATGGCATATGATGGTGCTTGTCAGAACTGGATAACCTATTTTATACCCTATGCTAATGTTTCTCAAATATTTGTAACAGACCCAATGAAAAAAAATTTGTATCAGCATCTGATACATTCAAATAGATTCCAACATTTATCCATATACCTAGTGTCAAGAAACAATTTCTAACCCCTTAGCATATTCAGTGTATTCTAATATTTGAATTATTCCATTTTAAAAAAGATTCTGGTTGTGATTTACTAAATTAATTTCACCATTCACTAGTGGTTAGCAATCCAAATGAAAAATACTGTTAGAAACTCTACACAAAGTCAGAGATCATAAACATTGCTTCAAAGGAGATGAAGGAGGCAAGAGGTACTTGTGTTCTTTTCTCTAATGGTTCTGTTCTTTTCCGTGCCAGAAAGAGAAACTCTCAGACTCCCATGTGTCACTTCATACACATTCACATGGGTTATCATCTTTAGGGCCTTTATGTTCCTTGTGTGGCAAGTGAGGTCCAGGATTCTTATCTATATATAGCCTAGTGGCAAGTTTCCTCTCTGCATTTCCTCTTGCATCTCAGACCTAGTGAAGTTTTCCTTATGTGTAATGTATGTTGTTGAGAATTTCCAATGGTGGAGGAGTTCTAAAGTTTCTGTCAGAAAAGATTCTGAAAAATATTTTTACTAAGTAGGCAGGTATTTCTTTTTTTTTTTTTTTGGCTGTTCCTGAGCTTTTTCTGGCATTGGTTAAACTTTTGTGTGAGCAGAGGCAGACTTCCCTTTATTTCACCTAGTTGAAATATTATTGAAAAATTCAAATATGTAGATGAATATCCTTCATCAGTTCTGGAAAATTATCAGCTATTCTCTTCAATTACTGTTTCTACTCCATTCTATTTTCTCCTTTCCTTCTGAAACTACAATTATTAAATATATGTTAAGAGATCTCCATTCTATCCTCTGTCTTTCACACATTCTTCTATCATTCCCCCCTCCCCATTTTTATTACTGTCTCTATGCTGAATTCAGAATAATTCCTTCTCACCTAGTCATTCTCACTTAAGCCATATCTAAATCTACTGCCAGACCATAATTATTTTTTAAATTTAGTTTTTGTAAATTTTATTTGTGCATATATATAAGTGACAACCTCTAAAAAGTAAACTAATTTTATAACTGGAGTTTTCCCTATTTGTTTATAGGACATTAAAAAGCTTGCATTTGAGTATTGGTTTCGGATGAACCTCTCTACACAGTAATGTGTAGAATGATCAATAACATCTGTGCTATTGGGACAGATGTTATCTTTGAGATCTTTTTAATCAATGGATCCTCAACTTAGCAGCACCTGGGTGGTAGTAACATATACATTATACTAAGCATGCTGGACTTATAAAAGAGGACTATTAGATATGCTAAATAATGAGAGCATATCATTTCAGTGAAAATTATGATTTAATAAAAAAATGTATATTCTTCTTAAAGATTTGGCTAATTTTATATTGAAAAAGTGGTTTCAGCTATAAGAATATTCTTCCCTCATAGTAACAAAGAAGAAACAAAAAAGAAAACAGATACAGAAAAAAATCAAAACACAATACTACTTCAGTATTGGGGGGGTGGGGGGTGGGATTCAATCTTAACTTTAATTGTTCTCTAGGTCAGAGGTTCTCAAGGTATGGTACCAGAGAACGAGCATTACCTGGGAATTTGTTAAAAATGTAAACTCTTGGGTCCCACTCTAAAATTATTGAATCAGAAACTGGAATGGAGTCCATAATCTGCATTTTAATAATCACCACATGATTCTGATACCTGCTTAATTTTGGGCCAATCTCTAGTTTAGTCAGGAACATGTTAAAGAGCACCAACATGATGAAATAAAGTCAAAAGTGGGACAACCAGACATTCTGGACTTACTGATGTGCTTTCTTAGAAACTATGTAATACCACCTATGAAGTATTTTTGTCTCCCATTCTGCCTAGTTATACCTGGATCCAAACAGAGAACTAACATTCTATCTACAGGCAATATCAGACCAAGTTGAAAGCTATCTTGTGCTCACTTCAGCAGCACATATACTAAAAATTTGAACAATACAGTGTTTAGCATGGCCCCTGAGTAAGGATGACACACAAATTTGTGAAGCATTTCATTAAAAAAAAAAAAAAAAAAGCTATCTTGCAGAGCCAATTCCAGAATATTAGAAATCTATATTTGTGGCTGTACAGGTTTCATGTATAGTTTCTCACCTCAGCAACTGTTAAGCAAGTTACCACATCCACAACTCATATTAAGAATTCTACAAAACAAGTCTCAAGTTTCTTCAATTAATGAATGACATGACTAAAAGGAATATGGAACTGCTATAGATAACAAAAACAAAACGAAGTTTAAGGAACATAAACCAAACATAACATGTTGATTCCTACTTGGGATACTGTAAAATGACATTTAAGATAACCCAGGAAAATGAACTAGGTATAGATTACAGGAGTATAATACACACTGAAGTATTCACTGAAATCAGATAATAATCAAAGATGGATATGAGTATTTTTAAAGGAGTTTATGAAATCATAGTATCAAAGCTTTACCAAATAGCTTTGAAAATCTAAACTCCAAATATATGACAGCTCTAAAGCTGCATTTGCCCAGAAAAATGGACTACTACATTTGGGCCAAGCATTAAACCACATGAATCTTTTGTTTCTAGACTATGGGGGAAGGGAAGACAGGAAGGGTAATAAAGGGAAGGGGTGGAGGGTGGGGTTGGAAGGGATAGAGAGTACAAACCAACACATATTTTAAAAAGCATGATACAAAACCACATTCTTTGACAGAACTCAACACTAGACTGAAATACTCAATTTTCAAAAAATAGATCAAACTAAACATTGTATTTTGCTGCATATTAAAATTATATAAATGTACTGTAGTTGCCCTAAAATGATAAAACATCAGCTTTTCAAATTAAGTCTAAGATTATACACATTACAGACCTAACCCAAATAAACATAGTTACCAAGTTAAAATTTTAAGGTAGTGTTATGGAAAAGATTTAAGCATTCATAGTCTCATTACAAGGCCAACATTAATTTTAAAGTATAAGACAAAAGTATAAGGCTTTCCTTCTTTACCTACCTTGAGCAATTGCAGCAAGTTTTCCCTTTTCTTCAGGGTTGAGCTGCAACATTGTATCTATAACAGGAAGGAGCCTCTCCCTTTCACTACCTGGTTTTAGGAAAATGAACTGCAGCAAGACATTTTTCAAATATTCCAGATTAGCTACAGACTTCTCCCGTTCTTGATTTCTTTCCAATCTTCTTATTTCACTCTTAAGAAGCTGGTGGTAGAGAAATAAATGAAAAATGAGTCTTGGGGGAAAATGGGTTTTGTTAAATGTGGCAGACTAAACACATGCATTTTTCTTCTCTCCCCCCTGATATGCCCCCAAAAAATGACAAAAGAAGAGATTGAAAGAGGAGAAAAAGGCAGGTAAGAAATATCAAGAAATTCTTAGAAGATGTGAAGCAGATGAAGTAGAAATGACTTGGTCTGCCTGCTTATCAAGTACCACCAACAAGAAGAGAGAGAATGCATCACACAGAAACACTGTGATCCTGTCCTAGAAGTACAAGGTATATTAAAATAGCAGACAGATATTGAGGACTGATGTCAAATCTTCATGGGCTGGTCCTATGATGGCCACTTTACCTTAGGCAAATCCTTAGGCACTTAAGATGTCCATAGCGAACTTATGTTACATGATGACAACATTTACCCAAAATACAAATCCAGTCTAGGACAGAATGAAAATTCAGTAATGTTAAGACAATCAAAAATACTATCAGAAAAGTGGGGCAGAAGATAATATGAAAAAGATGGTAAGATGCTAAAGTCTTTGAGCAAGATTTGTGGGTTGAAACAAACAAAAAAATACACTGCTACAGTCTAGGAAAGTTAGCCAACTCTGCTAAAATCTGGGGTCCTGGGGACATTTTAAAAAGTGCCAACAGAGTTCAAGAAATCATGTGAGAATGTAAATTTGCAGGACTGTAGAATTTGAATAGTCACTTGCGTTCACTAGGCCAGTGATCTGACAATGTGTTGACTATGTGGGAAAATATTATTTTACAGTGATACATATGCTTTAGTGGTAGGATATCATAATATATGTAATTTGTTGTAAATAAATGCGCTCTTAGCATTAAAAATACTAATCTGACAAGGACAGCTGGTGGTTTTCCACACAGGTTGGGTGGATTTATTTGGGGGAGCATAGTACAGAAAAGAAGCATTTGCTTTTCAGACAAATAAGGGTTTGAATTTCAATTGTTCCTTCTCAAGTGTTTTTTCATCTAGTGATAATGAGGATTAAAAATATATAAAATTCAGGATTTGGCTAATGTGAACTGCTTATCAAGTGGTATGACCATATTTAGAGAAGTGATTATTAGAGAGACATGGGGAAATTATTTCATTGGGCAATCTCAATTGCTATACAACAATCCTTGGTGTCAACTTTAAATAGGAAAATGATCTTATGCCACTTTGCCATCTCCACCCACACTGAATACTGTGATAAGCAGTTTAGGGTCATAAACATCAGGTGAATGACTGAATCAGAAGTGCTCGATTTTATCATTAGAATTGAAGAACCTATACCAATTTAAAATTTTTATTTAAGCAAATGTAGAACTGACTTCAGTATATCTTATTTTCTCAACCTATTATGGTGTCTTAGAACAGGAAGATATTAAGATAGGCTTTATATAAGATAAAAAATAATATTCCTCAATCTCAGGAATATTTTCTTGGCGGTAGTTTTCTAATCTTACCTTAATTTGCTCCATAAGGATTGCATTGGTTGCCTCTGTTTCCCGAAGCAGGCTATTTAAGTGATCGGCACTTTTTGTGGTGGAACTGAGCTTCTGAACCAATTCTTCTTTGGTAAATTCGGCATGCCATAAAGGAGTCTCTGCAAGATGTTGTTCCAATAATTAATTTTCAAAATCAGAGATTACAGCTGAAGAGTCTAAATAAGAAAAACAACTAGGTATATCTAAGTATAGATATTTTGTCCATTATACAGGCCCACTATTTGCCATTCTTCAACAAATGTCAATGGTTAGAAGTTGACTGTAAAGCACATGATATAACTGAATACAAGCTCTATGTGCCCCAATTCTGAAATTTGTTGGGCTTGTGTTTCTAGACTGCTTTATTAGTTTCATCACTTATCCTTCTCTATTTCCTAATGTCTCAAGGGTTTATGTCATTTTACTCATAAATGAGTAAGGATGAAAATTTACTGATCATGTCTATCAGGGACTCATAACATCTTTATATGAGGTGGGGCAGGTATCATTACTAAAATTTAGTAGATGAGGGAGCAGGCTTAAACTCAACAAGCAATTTTGGCAAAAATGACAAAGCCAATTCTAGCATCTCTTTCTATTCAATCGTGATGCCTCCATCTCACCACTATTAACTATGCCCAAAGAAACCCTGAGTCCACTTTCTACCCACATCATAATCAATACCTGTGGGTATAGACAGTCCTTACTCTAGATCTTGAAACTTCAGAAAGATGACAAAATTCCCCCTTAAGTAGTCACTATAAGTAAGGATAAAATACTCCAAAACTTTAGTATTACTACTACTTAGTGCATCTTAAAGTTCTCAATTTCATAGGAGGGTGAGGGAATAATTTTTCTACTTTCTAATACTACAGAACTTCAATCATCTATTTCTGGCTCAAGCTTATGAGAGAACTTGCATTTTACTAAAAAAAAAAAAAAAAAAAAAAAAATTTTATCCCCAGAAAGGCTGTCTATTTGAAAAGGAGAGGGATTCTGAGAGAAATTTTTTGGGGTAGCTCAAAAAAGCATTTATAATTTAGAGGATCATTAATTAAATGAGGCTGAATTAAATGAAAAACATTTAGAGTGAAACATACCAAGTTTAGTTTCAGAAGAATTAAGAAGCTGCTCTAAAGACTGTGTGTGAGTACCAGTGGAAGATACAGACTCAGTGTCAGTTGTCTCCATTCCTTCTCCTTCTTCCCGCGTTATGGTATGCATGTCCAGAAGGGGAAGGTCTGTGTTTCTCCTTTCTCGAAGGTTCTTTGAAGGTAGGTGGGAAGAAGCTGGGCCAATTACATTTTTATTTAAGGATAAGTAAGAGATAGCTCAAAACCAAACAGAATTAACATAATAAAGCTAAAATGATCCTAGAGTTGTCAAATGATCTCGGAAGGAATCTAGCTTAACTAGAGAACAAGTATATAATTTCTAACTTATATCATGTTTGGATGCATTTAAGCTTTCAAATGTATAAAAGAATTTCTAAAAGTCTTAAAACTGAGCTACTGAACTTTAAAGTTTTTTAAGTAATTTAAGTAATTTAAACAGCTGCTATAAATGATTGTTACTAGCCAAATAAAACAAACTATTAGATAACACAAAGCTCACAATATAGAGGGCTATACATTGCTAAACACTGGTACATATTCTAAAAATAGATTATAGCTATTTTGCATGGTTAAGTATTTCAGAATTGCTGCATACTCTGACACAACATGCTTGCTGAAGTCTGCTCAGCAGACATTCTTGTTGATCACTGGGACTGCTCTTGCTATACTGCTGGCTCTGACTCCTGCCCACTCAGTTTTCAGGTAAGAAGAGCAGAATAAAGGGTGGGGAACTAATTATTCTTAGACAAGGTTTTCCTGCTTGCTGATAATAAACACTTGGAAAGGACTGCAAGGTTTATAAGATACTCTCAAACACATTACTGTGTAAGTCCCTAGAACCTTAAGTTAGAGAAAATAAATGACTTCACATAAGATTAGGGACTAGAATTCTAATCCAAATTTTTTAACTTTAAATTTCATTTATTTTCCATTCCATGAAGTAGTCTCCCCTTTTCTTTCAAACATTAGTTCTGATTGCCATTAGAGACTCATTTTCTTGTGTTTCTGAAATTTTGCTGTGTATTCCACTATTGATTCCTAGACTACATCCTCTTGTGCAACCAGTTTCCCTGATTGGTTACTTTCTTTGCTGACCTATGGCATATGTTTTTATTTTTTTTGAAGCTGGTCTGACCCTGACAAGTGACCCGTAGTTGTCAATGCCCTGATATCATTTTCCATGGG